AGGTCTCTGCTCATTATTATTTTTACTCCTAAAATATCACTACTATTTTGATCAATAAAGAAATATATCACAACTATGATACTATGTATAATTAACTATGTTTTAGTTGAATTTATGAACTGTTACAATTGACCCCGTAAGTGGGGACAATTGTAACAAGTGCTCGACTATCAAAAATTGTTAATAACTAATATAATAACATTTAAAATTAGTTATTTTTTTTTCTAGTAGAGGATAGTCTACTTTACTCGTCTGTCAATTAATATTAATAATATATTGGATTTTTCGTTAGTTAAAAATAGTTAAGTAAAAAATGCTACAATTGACACCATTCTCCCCTACACACTGGAAACTCTTCATGTGTTGAAGGGAATGGTGGTGTCGAACCCCCGTTCTGCCGGTTCTGAGACTAACAGATTAGCTTTCTCGACTAGGTACCCGGCTGCAGGGAACTAAGTGGCTTTATTAGATGGTCTTAGTTGGGGCGATTAAATTCTGGTTGCTTAACCGTATTAGGTCAAATCAGTTCATAAACGGTTTTTCTGATAGTTAACACTTTGAATACCATCTTATTTATGGTTATTGGACTGTTTTGCTTCAATATGGTTAAGTAATAATTACATAAATTGTTATTCAACCAGTTTTTCTGAGAAATTTTTAATATTGTATACAAAATTCAGTTTTCTAACGATTAACATTTTAAGAAACTTACATAACAATTCAATAAAATTGCCTAAAAGTGTATAGTGCAAGGTGTACAGTAGAAATATCTATCTATTTCTAGAGAACTTGTCCTCCGTGTCAAAAATTATTCACATTCGGGTTCGCCGATTTTTATTTAAGTTAGGAAGAAATAAAAGCAAGACCCAAAGAATACGAATCAAGTGAAGAAGGCGGTGTGAAAATCATAAAAACCATATTTGTTGCCTAATGAACTTGAAAGTTGTTTCTAATAATCCTCTTTCAACTCTTCTGTTTTGCCTCTGGTGATCAAAGAGATTTTGTTCAGATGTGAATTATCAATATTCGATACATTTTGGTTTTTTCTTAAACAAAATATTAATTTGCGATCTTCAAGACTTCACTTCAATTCAAACAAGAATTCCAAAAACTCACGATATCAATACTTTATATAATAGAGTCAATATCTTTATATAATAGAGTCAATGATCAGTATTTTATATAATAGAGTAATGCAGAGCAGCGATGGCTCAGGGGATAGAGCGTTCGCCTTCCAATGAGGCGAACTGGGTTCGAATCCCAGTCAATTCGAATTCCGCATCCGGCTTGCACTGATCGCCGTGCTGACGTGAAATATCCTCAGTGGTAGACGAATCATGGGTTAGAGTTCCCTTGTCGTCAGGCTAACCGTGGGAGGTTCTCTTCGTGGTTTCCTCTCCATGTAACGCAAATGCGGGTTAGTTCTATCAAAAAGTCCTCCTCGAAGGCAATTTTCTCCTAATGCTCGATCCAGAAGTTCCTTTGTCTTCTGGATTGGGTTCAAAATTACAAGACTCGGGAGTTGAACATTAGCAGTCGTAAACCCATAAAATTGGGTCGGCTGTTCAACGACGGTTAGAAAATAAAAATAAAATAGAGTAATGCATAAAAAATAATAATTTTTATAAGCATTTTAGGGTATAAATAATTCTGCGTAGAAAGCCTATTGGTGTTCGTAAACAATTTCCAATTTTGCACACTTCTTTTTCAGCCATCATTAATTAAAATTTTTATTTTAAAACAACTATAACAAAGTATAAAAAAATATAAAAAATATTGTATACTATTATTAATTGGCATAGCGTTATATTTGTTTATTAATACTAATAAACGAATATTCATATATTCAAATACTTATATTACTCTAATCACTTCATACATATTCAGAAACCTTATAGTATAGCTACTCAGCTACACTATAAGGTTTCAGTTACAGTATTCAGCTTATACTAAGTATGAAGCTGAAAATCTACTCATTAGTGATTACAAATTAATACTTAAGCAAGGTAAAGCAGAGTCACTTTTGAGGAAGATAACATTAAAAACATCAAACCCTGTCTGATAACTCGAGAAAACTGACAGGAGCTGAAACCACTTTAATATTTACTTGTGATTCCGGTCAATAAAAGTAATTCAAAATATATCTGTTTTACCAATAGAACACCGAAGTCAAGCACCACTGGCTGCGGTCAGTGTGCGGGTGGGTGACCACTGAGATCAGTCTAGGAAGGGACCAAGGATGTGTGATACTGGTCCTCGTTAAACTGTTCTACCGTAAAGGGCTAGACTTCACGCGTAGGTCAAAAGTTTGCCGAAGCAAAGGTGCCATCACCTCTGCAGAGGATCAAAATTTTGATGGTATGTCTTCGGATCATCTTCGGAGATGTTTCCCAGGCCATCGCCAATACCCCATTGTGCAGCTCAAGTGCGACGTAAATAAACTACAACTGCAACTACATCTGATTAAAAAATTCTCAAATTTTTCATGGAAGTAAAGTTTAGCCTGGATAACATCTATAAAACTAAACTTTCATGGTCTGTATGCCTGAATCTATAAAATTCGTTTGCATAAAAAAAAGCATTTAAAGTTTTCAAATACATCCTAGTTGCTATTTCTTTGCAAAGTTGAAACTGGAATTAAAATTGAATTTCACTCACCTGCTTAACTCTGAGGGCATATTCTATTCCAACTCCTTCAACTGCTGGACCAGTGTATCCTATAGGACATGGATCACAACGATAACCCGGAGCTGTATTCCGGCAGTTAACATCCCGGAAACATGGACTTGCTAAATCACACTGTAGAAAAAAAAGTACATTTTTGATAATGGAACTGTAAATATTAACTAAATAAAATCGTAAATGTGAAATGTTAGCCTTTGACTATGTAAACTCTGACTAAAATGCATATTCGTAAAATGCATTTAAAACTACTAATGAACTGTGGTTTAAATATAAGTTTAGTTTTTGGAGTAATGTACTCGTAAAATGCATTCAAAACTACTAATAGACTGTGGTTCAAATATAAGTTTAATTTTTGAGTAATGTACTCGTAAAATGCATTCAAAACTACTATTGGACTAGGGTTTAAATATAAGTTTTGAAAAACATAAATAACGTCACATAGAACGGAATTTAGCATAAAACTTCATAGCAGCTTTTAATGAATTTTGAAAACTAGGTGATGCGTGAATTTTCTTTAAGTTTGATTTAGTTTATTTAGTTTCTTTGAGAATATGGTGATTTTCTTGTATAATCACTATAATATATTTCATAGTTAATTAAATGCGTGTGAGTTTGAAGCTTTCTTAGTTCTTTCCTTAATGATTAATATTAAAATAAATGAACTTTTAGGAACTAGTAATTAATTTCCCCGTAATTCTATGCATTAAATGCTATGCGTAATGTTATAAAAATCTTTATACTTTTTGTTATGTTTTCTAACATCGTATTCTAATTCCACCCTTTATTCCCCTGATATTATTTTTTAGTAACAGGAAGGGACGTTTGAAAAACTATGTGAATAATCAAAAGATGACTGCTTGTGCTCCAGTATTATAATTTGTTACTACGGAAACATTAATACCACAGATATTTTTTGAAAGAGAGCTTTGTCATGCATTATAAATTATATTGATAACTGCAAACTGTCCTACAAGTTTCAGTACATTCACCCCTTTTTTTAGGGGAGATGTGGGTGCTTTGAATGGGAATAATTGAATTTCTTTTGCAATTCATGATTTTACTCTAAATTGAATTAAAACACTTTCTAGAAGCCCAGACTAAAAGTTTAAGAGTTGTAAGGGTTTTGTGTACAAATGGTACAATTTTGTTTTTGTACCGATTTACGCATCTGACATTGATATCTAATCAAGTAAGGCATTGTTTTCTGTGTATATTTTTACGTTTCATTGTATGAAACTACTCATGTAAAATATGCCTCACATGTTCAAACAGCTTATAGAGTAGTAAATGTACATAAAAAATGTATGTAAAAAGTGTAGATAAGTACATGTCAAAAGAAGTACCTTTTGTAAATCAAAACTATTGTAATTTTTGAACTACTTTTATTATCTTGTGTATATTCTTATTATTCGATACAGCATAAGACAATACATAGGAAACAATGCCTCACCTGCTTGCACATAGTAATGTCAGATGCATAAGTAGGTACTAGTAAAAAATCGTATTTTTTGTACATATATGTACATATAACTTCTAAAAGATTCGTCCGATCGTCTAGAAAATGATTTCATTCAATTTAACGTAAGTTAATGCATCGAACATAATGCCTAAGTTGTCAAACAAATAGAAATACAATGTTCTCTTTCAAATTATCCCCATTTTTCACAAAAAGAAACGCCTGATTTTACTGGACTAATGAGATTGAATAACATAAATTTTGGAATAATGTGGGATTTAAAGTAGGTCCTAGAGCAGAGACCACCAGGCCGTTGATCTCGAGCTACTAGTAGTTCGCGGTAATATTTTAGGAAGGAAGTTCGAGATACGGAAGTTCGGCTTAACACTTCGAGTTCACTAACTTTGATCCTCAATTGAGTTAAAAACCAATTGTACTCATCAACAGAAAAAAAAAGTAAAGTTGGTAGATTCTTTTGGTTTGTAGCTCACAGTAGGAGTTAAAAATGGTACGGTAGTTCAGGCGTCCACNACGTTGTGCCCTTAAAATTCAGAGGCACAAACGATCCAAATGTGCCTCTGAAATCAGCGGTACAGTTTTTAGAGTGTAGCAAAAGGTTGGAAGAAATTGTAAATAACAGAATTTAACGAATGTCGAAAATTACGATTTGTCGGAAAATTAACGCGCATGCGCTTTAAAGCTCAAATAACGTTAACGTTAGAGGGGGAACCGTAACTTATTGCATAGTTTCTTCTATTTATTATTCTATATTCGAAACACATCAATTTCCTTTAAATAATATCCATCCCTAAAAAATAATTATGTTTTTCGACACGAAAATTTTTGTAAATAAAAGTTGTGTCTCAATGTTTTCTTCCTAAACAAACAAGAAATATAAGAGTTTCCTTAACAATCTATAAAAATACAAACCTCATCGATGTCATCGCAGTATGTCCCGTTACCCGTAAAGCCTTCTGGACAAGGACCACATCGATAATAAGGTGGCGCATCAGTGTTTGTGCATCTGACGTTAGCACTACATGGCATTTCGGCACATCGATCTAGTGGCTTACACGATATCCCGTCGCCGGTATAACCAGGAGGACAAGAACCACAACGATACCCAGTTTCAGTATCATAACAACGAACACCTACAGAAAACAAAAGCCCTTGATACAGTTGAACGGTTTACGACACTTTAGTGATAGGTCACATTTTCATAATGATTACAGGGACATTTTGGTAAATAAAACACCACAATACCTATGTCGGTTATACAATTTTTTTGTGCCTTATACTTATGGAAATTTCAGAAAATTATAACATATCTGGAAATAATACTAAGGTGGAATTTGATGCAAAAATATCAATTTTGCAAAAAGTCTGACTTTTATTATTCTTCACTGAGCCCTGCTCTTCAATTTATAAATATCACTGGTTCGCAATTTTTAATATAGCAATTGGGGTCGGAAATTTTGAAGCTGATTTTGACTATTTGTTATGCTGATATGCAAAAATTTCGATTTTCAGCTAGGCTTTGAAGATTCACCATAGCTAAATTGCGAAAAAAGGGGAAATTTCAGTTTTACAAATAAATAAAAACTGCTGGCTACCTGATATTTTGAACTAATTTCATGCATTTGGTGTCGGAAATTCTGAAGCTGTTTTGACTGTTCGTTATGCTGATTTATAATAAGCAAAAAGTTTTAGAATTTCAGTTATGCTTTGTAAATTCATCATTGCTAAATTGCGATTAATGTGGAAATCTCAGTTTTAAAGAAAATAAAACCCTCTTGCTGCCTGATATTTTGAACTGAATTCGACTATGTTCAGTATTAACTATATTCGTCTATATTTAGTCACAACTATATTTGTCTGATCTTTTGAAATGATTTGAATAATTTTAAATACTGAAAATAGTTTTCTTTATCATTCTAATTTAAGAACATTAGTGGATTTTCGGTAATTCTGTTAAGAAAGCAGTTGAAACTAGCAGAGAAAAAATTATTTTCGTTTTTTTAATCGCAAACTAAAATATAGCCCAAATCAATTTAAAAAATAGAAGCAACAAAAATAGATTTTGCGAGTGTGTATAAAGAACGATATTTCTCAACTTAACTACGCTGAATCTCCAAAATTAGAGTCTACAGATAATTGTTTGCCTAGTTGAAGTTAACTTTAAACTGAAAGTCTCCATAGCTCTTTCAACTGAAACTTGAAACATTCTTTCAATTGAAACTTCTATTATTCTTTCAGTTGAAACTTTTATTATTCTTTCAGTTGAAATTTTGAAGTCTTTTTAAATCAAAACCTATCAAAATCGATTGCAGAGGTCTGTCCAGGCGAAATTTACTACTATTTACCGGTACCTTCACAAATTCAACTTTAAGAAAAAATACTTTTAAAAAAGCAAGTTCTCGTGCAAATCCCGTTCTCGTTGCAATCTATGAAAAAGAGCTTTCCTGCCAGCTGTCTTATACGAACAGGTCAGTTGGTGCAATGTGGTAAGCCAAACTGGGAGGCTTTTTTTTCCGCTGAGTTTTTTAAAATGAAACAACGAGCCCTCTATGAACTTTAGAGGAAGTCAAAATTCGAACATTATTTTAAACATTCGAATATTATCTTAAACACTATTGTAAATTTATTCTAACATACCTTTATTTTTTATGAAATATTTTTTCTCTGTGAAACTTTCTTTGTATGACCTAGCCGAAAATGTTCTCATAATGAAGATAAGTTTCAGTGTTAAATGCATGTTTTTATTAAATTCAAGTTGAAATTTTAACTATCGACAACGATTNTGTTTGCATCATTCATAACATCATTTAAAATAGCAAATAATGCTAGCGCTGTTGTTTTGAGTTCTATTGATTTGCAGAAAAGTAGTTCTACCACTGACATATTATCACAAAATCAAACATTGGCAATGAAATGAGCATCTTTATCAATATCTCTTGCTTCAAAGTTTATTGAAAACATTTTGTCACGCAACATCGAGAAAAGCTGACACTACATTTTCAGCTGTATCACCAATTCGACGAGGAACAGTATAATTTGAAAGAGGTATGGACTGTAATTGTTTTGAAAAATTAACTCCAAACATAGTTTCTACAATCTCAATTGCTCCTGAGTTTTACTTTACTTTTGTTTTGGTAGTTAGTTAAAAATAATTTAAAGACAATTAAAAATACTCAATATACATTATTGTTGTATACATTTTACTGTAAGTGGGGGGCGCAATGAAAATTATGATTGAAAACTGGGCCGCGAATACTGAAATGTTGAGAAACGCTGCTATAGCTCTTTCAACTGAAACTTGAAACATTCTTTCAATTGAAACTTCTATTATTCTTTCAGTTGAAACTTTTATTATTCTTTCAGTTGAAATTTTGAAGTCTTTTTAAATCAAAACCTATCAAAATCGATTGCAGAGGTCTGTCCAGGCGAAATTTACTACTATTTACCGGTACCTTCACAAATTCAACTTTAAGAAAAAATACTTTTAAAAAAGCAAGTTCTCGTGCAAATCCCGTTCTCGTTGCAATCTATGAAAAAGAGCTTTCCTGCCAGCTGTCTTATACGAACAGGTCAGTTGGTGCAATGTGGTAAGCCAAACTGGGAGGCTTTTTTTTCCGCTGAGTTTTTTAAAATGAAACAACGAGCCCTCTATGAACTTTAGAGGAAGTCAAAATTCGAACATTATTTTAAACATTCGAATATTATCTTAAACACTATTGTAAATTTATTCTAACATACCTTTATTTTTTATGAAATATTTTTTCTCTGTGAAACTTTCTTTGTATGACCTAGCCGAAAATGTTCTCATAATGAAGATAAGTTTCAGTGTTAAATGCATGTTTTTATTAAATTCAAGTTGAAATTTTAACTATCGACAACGATTTTTATGGATTTTTAAATTTGGGTACAATTTTAAGCCCAAGATTTTACAGTAAGAAAATTATTTTTGAATATATGCAGAAAATATATATGGAAATTTACCAGTCATAGATAATTTTTATTTGCGGAGACAATTTTTGAAAATATTTTCTTACTTTACCATATTTTGTGTTGATTTTTTATTATAATTTTCAATTTTCACAAATTATGTCTAAATTTTCACAAAATAGGAACCTCTCAAAAAAAACTTAGACAGACCCCTGGTGTGCGCTAAACATCATTAAATTTGTCTTTGCAAGATTATTCCAAAACTAATCAGATGACGATGAGAATCAATCATCTACATTTTAATTCAAATTTTTTTTCTCTTTTCATTGAAACAAGAGTTAAACAATACTTTACCAGCATAGCATGGTCTGTCCAAGCAGGTTGTTTCTGGACGGCAAGTGATACCATCGCCGATATATCCTCTGGGGCATTGTCCACATCGATATCCACCTGGGATATCGGTGCAAGTAACTCCTTGAAAGCATGGCCTATCTCTACAACTTCTGCTACCTTTTGAGGAGAAATAAGATTTGCTTTTGAATCACTATTTCCATAAACCAGCCGAATGCCAGCTCTTCGTACGGGGTAAAAAAAAAGTTAATTATCAATAAATTGGCATTAATCAACTCTACACTATCATGCAAAAAACTGAAAGGCATATATCGATGCAGCTATGAATAACAATTAGGAAAGTTTTAAATAAACCCAATTTTTATTTATTATCCTTTCTGGTGATTTTAAATAAATAAACTAAGCAAAAGACCGTTGTTGAAATTTAATTCCTAAAATTGTTCGTAGCGGTGTCTGTTCACGCAAACTATCGCCAACTGGCACCAAAAAAACTTTTAATTTGTAAAAATTAAAAAAATGCTGGGGTTTGCCCGTGGCTACTAGTTATACCATTCAAGTTGGACAATTTCTGTAAAGTCGCGATTATTAATAACTCGCGATAATTTATCAAGGATCGCTACTCGGAAATCGTCATGATTTAGCGATTATTTTGGCATGGGTACCGATACGGAAATCTTCCCGAACTAAACATTAACTCTAACAAAACATGATCAATCTATGACAGTCCACATTTTAGAACATAATGTTTTGTCAATTCAAATATCATTGACTGTATATCATTTACGTTTATAAAAAAAAAATTTAAAAACGTTGTTTTAGATAATTTTAAAAGCACTAGTTCAATTATATCCCTCTTACATACTACAGGCACTAATTTTACTTCAAATTACCTAAATAAAATTACGTAGTGCGATAAATTCGCAGTGAAACTCGCTTTTGTTAGATAGAGCTGTAAATTAGTCATGTTATCATTAATGTTAAGTTTTAAATTATTTAAATAAAACAGAATCGTACGCAGTTTAATTCGAAACAATCTGCAATAGAAAAAACAACAATAAAAAGAACATTTTTTTGGTAAGCAACACCAAATTTTGCCGAACTAACTCAAGAACTAGTTTTAAAATTGTTGCAAATAAAAAAAATACTAGTTTTTTCTTAAAGCAGACACAGTAAATCTTTTTCTTTTTGCTAGACTAGACTTTAAAAAAAATTACTTTTAAAACAACTTCTTGCATCGGTACACTTAGCACGAAAATACAGATATAAAATAATTCTCAACTTTCCAAACACATTTCAGCGAATTAGCAAGGAAATATTATTTTTATTCTTACATTTCAACTCCTTAAATGAACTGTAATTTTATTTTGAATATCTTACTTGAAACTAAAGATGATTTTCATCCAAACAGAAAAAAAAAATGCGAATAAATTATTTCAAACAAAATATATAAATTTGAAGAAAGTTCTAGGATGCAATTTCAAATAAATTAAACTCTTTTTACCTCTGCACATTTCGCAATTTTGAATAGCTTCCCTCAAATGTTTCGTTTCTCGCACCTGAAAAACAACACAATTTTACAGTGAAAACCGTCAGGATAATTCATAACTCAAACAATCATTAATCACATCATATTGGAAATGTATAATTAATTTTTTTTTTCTAATCTCAGTTTGGCATCCTTTTTTTGATTGATTATGCATTATTAAAGATAAAGTGGTTTTAATTTCGTATATATTTTGAGAAGTGAAATATGGAAAAATAATTTGCTTTTTTCAAATGTTAATTTTATTAAGTTTTATTTCTTTAAATTCTGTTTATTTGAAAATTGCGCAGTATTCTTGAGAAAATGGTCGACAGTTTTAAAAGTAAAATAGATTCTTTTTTTTTTTTTTTTTTTTTTTTTTNGAATAATCTACTCCCAAAGAATTTGATGGATATGAATCTGTTCGTGAGATATTGTATTTAGATGGAATTGAAATACTGTATATATCTTAAGGAGCTTCCGTGAAATTTCCTTAAATAAATTACAGTAAAATATTTGAAAATTAATTGCTGCATAAGATATAAAAAGAATTGCAAATATGCCTAAAAAATAAATACAAACAAGTTTTATGTTTTAGAATAATTAAATTGCTTTGAAATATATGTAAACGAGTTGCTATAATATATATAGAAACAAATCTAAGCATTTAAATTTTAACATTCAGTTTCAAAGTCATGAATTCTGAAAAGGAACATATACTTTTAGGTATTGAGAATAATATTGATAATGTCTAAAAAATTTACACATGACGATACAAAACTTAAAATCAAGCCCTAACCAAAACAGATGAGCTTTGCTCCTATTTTTAAAGTTTTAAGTTTTAGATACCCTACAAACGGCAATTTAGTTATAAGCATTATTTGTTTCTCTTTACAAATATTCTATTGTTAAGAATTTCCTAATAATATTTGGTTTAAAGTATGCAAAGATTGTATTCAACTCGATTTAGAATATTTGTTCTTTTACCTGTTAATCCTTTCTCGTAGATGCGATATCGGTGTCCATGTCATATATTTTTTTTGACCCTCTAATTACAAGCAAAAATATATTTTTGTATTTTTTTAATTATGAAAAATAGTCTAATAGTTACTAAAAAATCTGTTAGATCATTGGAATTATATTAATACTTAAATAAAAAGTCCCCCCCCCCCAAAAAAAAAGTCATTTAAAATTTTTCTCCATTCATATTCAAAAATATATTACTAATTGATATTACTAATTGATTTTGTATAAAGACATTTCAATGACGAATAACTGCTTCTCTTAGATATAAGTAACTGCAAATAAGTGGAAATTTGAAAAAAAAAACTTCGGAAATGAACCGTGCTTGAGAGATTTCACTTTTAACGCAGAAAAAGACCGGTGTTTCATGCTGTGCCTCATAAATATAAATCATTAAAATGCTAAATAATGTTTTTCACTTATTCTGACCTAAATTAATACAAAATAATGAAAAAATGTATGAAAAATACTTTTAATACGTAAAAATTCTGCTCCGAAGGGTTTTAAGAACTTGAATCTTGCCAAAACACAAGAACTTTGATTTTATTTTTAAATGCAACAAATGCTTTAGTTACTATAAAAACAATAATTTAGATATAGACATTATTAAGTTAACCTGTAATAATTGTGGTTTCCGTTTTTTTTTTTTTTTTTACAAATATGTGGTTGTTAGAATTTCTTAATAATGTTTGATTTGATTATGCCAACAATGAAGCCAATTCAATTTCGAGCATTTTATTGCTCCTCTCTGGTAAAACATTTGCAACAGGTGCTTCCCTTATTACCTTACTTTCTTTTGCCTCCATTAGAGAAGGATCTATTGAGTAAACATCGCACCTTAACTACCCAGAGAGAGAAAAAAAGTTCTTCGCAACATTTTATTTACACGGCCATTTTTAGTGTGGCGAAATAGCTATTTTCTGCGCCACCACTTGGCGAAATAAGGTGCTTTTAACAACCTCGTAAAAAAACTTCGGTTTAAGCAGGACGTTTACAGCAAAGTAGGCAGAGTGTGGAATTAATAAACTGAAAAGTCCTATAAAATCTCATCCACAGGGTCTCGTCACAGAATCATCAAAATGTCGCTGATATAAAATCCAGATGGCTCCCTCGTTCCTCGCCAATGGTCCCCTAGAGATTTCTCAATCTTCTAAGACGCGGGAATGATTTCTCGCAATTTTCTGTTTCGCATCATTTCGTTCCAAGGTCGTTTCGAAGATTTCCTGGAAGAAGTACTGCTTTGATGCCACAAACAGAATTTATCTTTAGGTGTGTGTGTGTCTGTGTGGATTAAAAGATGCAAAGCAAGCCGAGCAAGAATGTGTCTTCTTTTATGGAGGGGCTTAAAGTTTGCGACGAACAAGAATAAACTTGGGGAATAAAAATGCCATTGATGTTCAGCCAACCGTAAAATAAGATGCTTTTGTTAATGATTTCAATTTTAGAACATCTGTCGCCAACTTAAGTTGATATCGATTATCGAATCCTTGCACACTTTTATTAACAAAATATAGTGTTGCCACTGTAAGACACAAATCTGGGACTGATTTTTNTTTTTTTTTTTTAATTTTTTTTTTTTTTTTTTTTTTGTAAAATGCATGTAATTTTTTAATAATTTGTACTGCTATATCATTTAATGTGCATAAAGTTTCGCACGGGTCTTAATTTATTTGAAAAAGGGGGACAAACCAGCCCCCTATTTATCAACTTGGTAATTTGATTTTATTTGATAATATTAAATTGATATTTTATTTTTATTTTTTAAGTATAAAGAAAATGGAAAAAAAGAAACAAAAGAAATTAACTTGATAATTTAAATATTTGTGACTCCATCTATATGTTATTTTGTAGAGAGAAAATTCGGCTGTACCAGAATTCTAACGCTGCAATAGTACAGTAAGAAAAGAAAAATTCCTGCTAACATGAACATAAATTTACTAAATCATTTTTGAATTTTTCTAAGATTCTTGAGATCCCTGAGTATTTCTAAAACAATATTCAAATAAAAAAAAATTAAATAAAGCTGGTGGTTTTAATATTTCATATTAAAAATTATTATTATTTAAAATTACTACTTATATCATTTATTTTAAATAAAAAGTACCCATGCAAACTTTGCTTACTTATTGTTAGACTCCTAACTGCCAAGATAATATTAATTTTTCATATATTTCAAAATGTTCCTAGAGTACATAATTTTTGGTATGAAATTTGTTTTTGATAAACTTTAAATATAAACAAATTTCTTAAACGCATAATCGGAATGAATAAAATTTTGTGATTTTTTTTTTTAAATCTGGAGAACTTTTCAAAACTAAATTAATATTACTATGATAAATATTTATTTCATATAAAAATGTTAAAAATATTCTATGAATTAAATTTTTTAATATACATAAATTATAACTTAAAAAATTTTCAAATTAAAACTTTTTGAACTAATGCACCTAAAATATTTTAAAATTTGATAAATTTAAAATTCACAATATTTTTAACTGCATTTATTTAAATATTTTAACAAAATTTCTGCTGAACTTAATGTAACTGTGATGTAACTACCACTACGAAAATTAAATATCAATTCACTGGTATATAAGACATGCTAACTTGATTCAATCATGCATGAGGTACCTTTTGATAGATGAAGGTTGGCATGATCGATAACTCCACCCCCTCATAACTAAGCTTTCAATTTTTAGAAGAATCTGGTTAATGAGTACAGATTTTGAAGAAAAGAATGGAAAGGCAAGGAAGAAAGAAAATCTTTTCAGCAAATGATAAGCATGGTTCCTTGTTTCTTTAATTAGATTCTTTCTTATCCGTAACAACATTGTGCCAAAAGATAATTTCTAGATATTTTAGTTCTCAAAAACTACTTCGTTAAAATTCAAAAAACAATTGAGCAAATGATAAATTTATAAAATAAATTAAGGTTATTTTTTACTTTTTAGAATTTATTACAATAAATACAATAAATTTTATCTCATTAAATTAAAAACATTTGCGTAAATTATCTCATTACAAATGGCTTGAACTATAAATCGCAAACGATTTCAATTCTCTGCAACATTTTACTCACCATTTTCTCTCTCTAATCTCAAAATACGCTCATTAGAATGTCCAAACCGTTTGCAGACGATCTCGCATTTCGCTATTTTCAGAAAAACATTCTGGATTTGGAGATTATGAGTTAGGTGAACGCATTTTCCCTCGACGAGTTAGCAAATATGCGTTAAATTTCTAACTCTGTCACAGATTTCGCTAAATTAATAACTCCACGAGGGAATTCCCTCTTTCATAATAACTAAATTTATGGTTTAGCTAAGGGAAATGTGTAATATTTGTGTAGTGCTTAATTATTTGGTAGCTAAGCTACAATTTGAGATAAAAGACTTGATAATCTAAAGTTTTATTATCCAAGGAGCATGACGATAAAACCCAAGAGGCGGTTATAATTGCACATGATTTTCTCTAGAACTTTTCTTAAAAATTTTATTTGAAAACTTGACATGAAAATTGAAAGAATTTTTGAAGTATAATATTAAAACTTTAAAAGTTATAACTATCAATTAAAGAAATAATTTAAAAATATGATAGATAGGAGAACGATATTTTTGCGTTACTATTCTGCAAAATTAAAATAAGTGAATCTGCAAAATTAAAAGAGGTTTTTATCATTTATATTAATACGAAAATTCCTAGAGATCTTAAAAAAAAAACTAATTTAAGCTCAAACTGGCAAATATTTTTCGTTTCTGCAGTTCTTTAGTTTTTTTCTTTTTCGTTTATTTAGTGCTGACATTTGTTTATAATGTCAGGCACTATTTAGAGAGGTCGAAGCCCTGGACAAAGTACAGTTTTATGGGCTCTTAAATTTTTTATGACTACTGAATCGTATTTAAAGCAAAAAATTACACGTAAGGAAAAAAGTGTATAAATAAAAATGATAAAGATATTTAAATTATTTTCGAATTCTTGGCCAAATAAATGATTAAGAATTATTTGTAATTGAATTAGCGATAGTTTTATCATTTCTAATTTGATAAAAAGTTATCTACGTCAATCCATTCATACAACAAAATTTATACTGTAAAAAAAAATTTAAAAATATTATTTTAAAAGCATAACTTTAAATACGATTTTATTTCTATAAGGCAGCCACTAAAGTATTGACAACTTGTTTAAAAAAGAACCTTCCTCAGTGTTGTAACACAAAGTGTCAGAAGAAAGCAGGGAACAAACAAGTTGCAATAAGGAAAAAATATGCTTACTCATTAGGGCAAAAGGAACAAGCTTGAAGAATCAAATAAAATAAGAAAGATAGGAACCAGGTGTGTGAGTTAGGTGAGAATCCCAGGTGCACAAAATGTAGAAATTAAAATAAATTTCCGAAAAATAGAAAAAATGGGGATAGCAGAAAATCATTAACTAAATTATTAGCTAAAGCAACTTAGTAAAAAAGTTTTAAACTATCACCTAAATACTACAAAGCTATTTTTGATGGAAACTATGGTGATGAAATAAGGAAGCCAAATACCAAAAATCTTAAAATTTACAGTAAAATTCAAAAAGTCTATTAAATTAACTGTTGGAGGACCAATTACTTTAAATTTCTCTAATTCGACTTGGAATTAAAACCATTTAAGAAGTCAATACGAAATACGAATTCGGAGGGACAGAAAAATATTTTTCCTTAAAAAGGAGAAAAAAACTTTTGGTTTTAATGCTTTATTTTCCCCCTTTTTTTCGTAATTATGCATTTTTTCTTTTTTCTTTCTTGTTCGTTTTCTATGATGGAAATAAATATGGGTAATATTTTCGTACATATTTATTCGAGAGCTTTTTAATAGCAAATATGTTATAAGCTTTCAGTTATTTTTAGGCTTATTATATTGCTTAAAAGAAATATTTCGTAATCTAAAATAATTTTGTACAAAAGGGTTGTGTTAATTGTAAGGCCTGAAAAACCATTCAATTATTTTTTAGGCTATTTGTTACAAAACTTATTTTATAATATCAGCAAATTTAGTACAAAAGAAATTAATATCAAAAGAATAATTGTACAAGTCGGGAAATATCTTAAAAAATTTGAGCTAAACTAAACTATAATTAAATGTCAATTACTTTAAATTTCTCTAATTTGACATTGAATAAATCTATTCAAACAACTAATTAGAAAAAAAAGTTACATAAATTTCTTGATGTTAATAAACTATGAGAGGTATTTAATGAGTTTTTCAAAGAGGATATAAAGTATATATATAAAGAGTACACTTACTTGATGGTCCATATTCGATCGAAGTTCTTTAATGGCCAAAGTAAGCTCATTTAGAGTTCGAATTAAAAGTTCTTGTTCTGCGAAAGAGGAAAAAGATAGTTTTTATATTTTAATTTTTGTTCGTTAGTATTTTTTAGAAAGCTCTGTTGATAATTAAAGTTAGTTAATTACTATTTCAAGGTACTTGATTCAGAGTAATTATCTTAAAAATAATTTGGACAATGAGTTTAAGTTTGGAGTTGAGAGTGCTATTTTAAAGACCATGACTCAATAAAAGAAAGTAAAAAAGCGTTTTTCGTTTTAAATCTTTTAATTTGAAGCAATATATTTGGAAGCATTTAAATTACAAGGTTTTGTTTTTTTTTAAGAAAAAGAGTTTAAATTTGTAAAGTAAAATAATTGACCTACTTTCTTTGAAATTTGAATAACTTTTCTTAGAAAGTAATTTGAGTTTTAATAAAAATGTATATTTTGTAAATAATGGTAGTAAGATTGTAAAATAGTATATTGTCAAAGATAGCTTTTTTTTTTTTTGAAAAATATAGATCTAAGTTAAATTATAAAATCACGAAAAAAATATTGACGAATCTTTAGCGAACTAATTTTCCAGATATTTTAAAAGGACCAATTAAAGCTACTCTGTCATCACCTTAAATAAAGCTTTTTTTGCGAATAAAGTGTTGTATTTTCGTAACTGCTGTGAATTTAGAACAATTATTCATATTCATAACTGTTAGGTCAAGTTATTCATAAAATGGTGTAAAGCGTCAATATAAAAAAAAACTACTATTTTGTAAAAACAAAAAGCATTTTTATTCACTTTTTTAATGTTTAAATAGTTACTCTAACGCCACATTATCTGGTCACACAAAATTTTAAAAAAATTCAGAATTACTCATTGATTTTTATAATCATAGTGGAAAAATCTAATCAAATTGGCGACTTTTAAAAAGTTTATTAGCTTCTAAATCTTTTATATCATTTGCAATTTCTGAAGCAAAGATAATTATTCATAGTAAAATGATATGTGCAATTTAAACTGTGGACTTGAGACTTAAACTGAGGCTTCTCTATTTTCTTTGATGAAAAAGTTGCGAAAACATTGTTCATGTTAAAAAGTTTTTAAACGTTTCATACATGATTATTTTATAGTATAAAAGACCACTTGAATTATTTCAGTCTTAAAATTTGGTTTCTTTTCACGAGTTGCTTCCTATCTAAAGAAGTTAGAAATGAATATTGTTAGACTATTACAACATTTATCATTCTTGTTAATGTGGATGGCATTATATATTATATAATAATGTTTAAAAAATAAAGGTTAACTCGATTGCCAGGCTGTATCCAAAAATGAAAGGAAACCTAAATTTGATCCATTGATTATTTTCTTGTAAAATGGTTCAAAATTTGGAGTTGGTCTAAAATTACTAACAATTGCTCTTACAAACGGCCGATATTTTGTAAAATTAATTTTTAGCAATAAGACATTTTCGAATTTCGGAAGCGTTATTTCTTGTTTTTTCGCTTAATATTTTGGTGTTTCTCAAATTTTGTGTTATGTGAACTCAAAATACTCATGTGTTGGTGTTGAAAATTAGTATTGAATTGATGGGAAAAAACATTATCAAATCCCGAGGAGATCTGTTGACGATTACTAAAATTAAACTGATTACTAAACTAACCGTTAGAATTGTCCACTTGTTTCAGAGTGGACAATTCTAACGGTCAGAAACAGCAATCAAGTGGAAAATGAAAGATAGCAAATCGAAAAGAAGCGTTTTTAACCTCTTCGAAGCGGGCGAGTCATTAATGCATTCTCAGGGTGTCGATAATCAGGGTAAAAAAGAAAAAACTGGTTGGCAAACTATTTTTATTGCAGTTTATTTGTGGGCGGGGTAATAATAGTTTGTTTTATTTAATTCACCACTACTTAGTTCGTATTAAAATTTTTATAGTTACTCTTTTAACACACAAGGATTGGATGTGTTAGATTTAATGTGAAAGCAAAAATAAGTCTGCCAAAGTTAACTATGCCCAAACTTAAGCTACCGCTTTTTATTTTTTTACTATCCTGATTCTGATTCCGTACGAATGCATTTATGACTCACCCGACCAGAAAAGGTTAAGTGGGTAGAGCTGGGATGAGTTTTGAAATAATAGTAGTACTTTATTCACGTCGGCTAAAACGCTGCACCGTGGGGCATTTTAATTTTTTTTTCTAAAACCGTCGTTGAACAGCCGACCCCGTTTTGAGTTTACCACAACCAATATACAACTCCCTAGCCTTGTAATTTTAAACCCAATCCAAATGACAAGGGAACTACTCCTGGATCACGTATTGGGAGACATTTGTCTCCGTGGTGAACTTTTTTGATGGAACTAACTCGCATTTGCTTCACATGGAGAGGGAAACCACGAAAACCTCACACGGTTAGTTTCACGGCAACGGGACTGATCATATTTTCCTATGAATCATATTATCCCATGATCCGTCTACCTCTGAGGATATTTTACGTCAGAACTGTGGTCGATGCGAGCCGGGTGCGGAATTCGAATTCAGTCGTCGCTCATATTCGAATCCGTTTCACCTCATTGGAAGGCGATTGTTCTATCCCCTAATCCACCACAGTTCAATAATGAACTATTAGCGAAGGTTTGAGAAGCATCCCTGTGGATTCTTCGACTACGTGCCATCACAATTTTGATCCCTTACTGAGGTGATGGCTCCCTGCTTGGGTAGTCTAACGATCTGTGCTGGAATTCGAGTCGTTTACGATAGAATATTTTAACTAGGTAGAACACTTCAAACATTACTGCACACCCTCGGTCCTTCCGCAGGCTAATCGAAGTGATTACCCACCTGCTCACTGACTTGTGCCAGTAACTTCAGACAGACTTCGATATATTTACTGGAAATCACCTTTTCACTCTGAAACGATAAGTTTTAGACGAAAGAGAGAGATCAGGCATCTTGGAAATTGAAATCGATCGATATCTATGAATAATGACAGAAAATGGAATGAATGATTTTCGTATGTCATAAGATGCTATAAATAATAGATCTTGATAATGGTTAAATTTTGTTTTGTTCCATTAATTTTTAAATAAGTTTCTCATTTCATGGATATTTCGGAATTTTCATAAAATAGCTCTCCCATTCAAAAAAGTCACTGTAAAACCTGACAAGGTCAATAGTAACGAAGGTATTTTGAATGTTTCAAAATCAACTTAATTGTTGGTGAAATCTGAAGGGAAGTAAACGATGATTATTAGATAAATGACTATTATCACTAACTCAACAAACAAAATTTTTATACATTTTTTCCACATTGTGATTGACCTTGATAATAATTCGTCCAACTTAGATTGAGTTTTTTTTCTCACTTAAACATTAATTTTCAGCCTGATGAACAATACTTATTTTTATGATTAACTTTCAACAAAGGTTCCATAACTATGTCATCAAAGTGATAAATACGTATAAATAAGCGAGTTATGCTACGGATTCGGTTTGTCTCATAAGTCAAAGCTAATCAGTAAGTATGGAAGTTGTTATACTCACCATTTACGTTGAAGAAAACTTCATATTCAGGTTGAGTACTTTGAGCTTGCCTGATGTTACAACCGCTGAGTTCTAAGGCTTTTTGCCACGATACGCCAGGCAATATGGTGACATTCATTTTTCTATCTCTTTCCTAATTAAATTTTTAAAAAAACAGACATTCCTTTTATTTTACAACAAAAGTAACATTCAATATTTTATAAATTCAAGAATTAAAATTTGTTTAATGGAATATTTTAATTTGTTTAATAAATTGTCCATAAACCAGAGGAAATTCTTAAAAATGATTTAGTTTCTAACTAGTTTTGAGAAAAACACTGAAAAGAAATCTGTAGGTCAGGACACAAATTCGGGCCATGGGAATTTGTCGATAAGGAGAGTCAAAAGTTTCTTAGTGAAAACATTATTTTATTTTGTTTTGAACAGCCGACCCAATTTATTGGGTTTACGACTACTAATGTTCAACTGAGTAGCCTTGTAATTTTGAATCCGATCCAAAAGACAAGGGACTTCCTGGATCAAGTATTGGGAGAAATTTGCCTTCGTGGGGGTCTTGTTGATGGAACTAACACGCATTTGCATTACATGGAAAGGAAAACCACGAAAACCTTTCATGGTTTGCTCGATGGCAAGGGGACGCTAACCCATGATCCGTCTACCACTGAGGATATACTAAGGATATTTCACGCCAGCACAGTGGTCCGTGCGAGCCGGGTAAAGAATTCGAATCGATCAGTCACAGGGATTCGAACCCGGTTCACCTCATTGGAAGGCGAACGCTCTGTCCCCTGAGCCACCGTGGCTCTAGTGAAAACATTAGAAATATTTCTTAGGGGGTGAATATTAAAGTTGAAGATGAAGTTGAACATTTATGTTTAACATTATACGGTGATTTTTTTAGCATTATACTATACCTATTTAGTGAAAGAAAATCATAAATGTTGAAAACGTTCTACATCGTGCTATACTTTTGTTGAGCAATATGCTATTTTTAAGAGGACGTCATACTTCCCCTCTCCATGACAGCAACTAATACTTTTTCTATGGCAGAGTTCTCTGCTCATAATTTGTTTGCATTTTGATACTTTGAATGAATTCTTTCAGCATTTGAAATTTCATAGTTTACTCTTAACTTTTTGAGAACTCATTTTTTCCCCTTTACTACAAATTTTAAATTATAAATGGAGGTGAAATATCGGAAATGGAGCTACCTTCTAGAAATCCGTTCTTCGTCTAAACTTTTGCAACAAATCCTTATTTTTAAGTTCAAGTATGGAATCTATACATTTCAAGCTTTCAACAGGAATAAATTGTAATTATTTTCTTCTATTATGAAATGTGTTATTAGCAGAGAAAAATGAAAAACAAAATACTTAAAAAAATACGAAAAGAGCATTAACTACGCCTCTGCCCCTCGTAACTGTTCATGTCTTTTATGGGAGGGAGGGAGAAAGGGGATATCTTCTTTACTTTCTCTGATTAGCTTTGGAATTAAAACACATTGGGGGTCTTCTCTTGAGGTTGAAAATGGTTTTATTTATTTCATTCTCTCTTCCTCTTTCTGATCTCCCACTCACTTCCTCCCTCTCTTTCTCTCCCTCTCTTTCTCTCCCTCTCTTTCTCTCTCTCTTTCTCTCTTTCTTACTCTCACTCCTTCTCTTTCTTTTTCTCTTTCTCTCTCTCCAGCTCTTTCTTTCTCCCTCTCTTTCTCTAGCTCTTTCTCTCTCCCTCTCTTTCTCTCTCTTGTTCTCTCTCCCTCTCTCTCTTTTTCCGCTTTCAAAAGGGTTCAGCTGGAAAATTTTTTCTTTCCTTTCCATTCGAATACTCTTATCATTTTTTGAAACTTGGACGTGTGCATTTTTACAATAAGTAATAGAACACACTTACACTAGTTTAACAAATTAACTAAATTATATTGAATCTACTTATTATCTAATTAAACGCGTTAAAACAAATGTGTCTTTTATTAATTTTTTCTTATAATATTCTAAAGCAATCGTATAATATTAACTCAGTCACCATTTTATGATTAGGATATTTCATTATACTCTTACATTTATTAAGTAATAAATGAGGTTAATTTATTTTCTAGCAATTTTTTTTCTACATTTATAAGTAAATTTAATGCAAAGTTACGTTCAGTTAACGTATGCAATTAAAATAACTGCATGCAATAATAAAATTGCTTTTCCCCGTCTAATAAATATTTTCTCATTGTATTCTAACAAATGTTGTAAATTAATTTATTGTAATGCATAATTGCGTGTAAATTTCGTTACTTATTCTTGCTCAACTGTATATTTTAGTTCTTTATCATTCATCATTCTTTATTTTTTATGTTTTTTAGTGAAGATTGCCTATAATTAATTAATCAGGATTGTTAATAATATTTGTTCGTATTTTGTTTTCCATTTTGCTAATGATCAGCTGTTCAGCTTTTTGTTTTTCATTAAAATTTTTTTATACTATTTCAAATTTAAATAATTAAACTTCATTTTCACAGCTGATCACGTAAATTCTCGATTTTTTTCTCTCTATTTTATATAGTACGTTAGATTAAAATATTAATATTTTATTTTCACATTTCTGTGTATAACTGTGTTCATCATAATTCGTATTTTCGAAAATATGTTTCATTTTTTTTTCCATAGCGATAACAGATATAAATGTACATAGTCTTTTTATTATTTGCAATTTTAATTTTCACAACTGCGCAGTATCATGACCTTTTTTCACTTGTTTTAATTATTCATGTTTTATTCTAACATTTTTCAAAATTCCACATTATGCCCAATACTTACTATTGTGCAATTTATTATACTTATTTGACCATAAACTCAGTTTTTGGTATTAATTTTTTTCATCTATGATGTAATAAAAGTTTTGCGCACAGGGAAAGAAAGCTACAGATATTTGAAATGTTCAACATTATGCTGTTGTTTTATTGCGCATTATACTATTATTCAGAGAAAGAAAACCTTAAATGTTTAAAATGTTCAACATTATGTTCTTCCTTGTTAAGCATTATGCTATGCTTTATCTAGGATAGAGATTCACAAATATTTGAAATGTTCAACATGCTGTTATGCTTTTGTTAAGCATTATGCTATGCTTAATCAGTGATAACAATGGTTAATGTTTAAAATATTCAGCATTTATGTTCCGAATTCAGTCATGCTTTTAATAAGTGAGCATTAAAATTATGCTATATATAATTATGCTATACTTATTCAGTCAGTAATTATGCTATACCTATTCAGGGAAAGAAATATTTGAAATGTTCAATTATTTATGATGACGAATGATTGTCTAACCTCTGATATTTAAAGAATGCCTGCAGTCAATGTTAATTACACAGTTTTGCTTTTTTTTCATTTTTAGAGTTTAAGTAGGGGAGAGTGGGGTCAATTGTAACAGGGTACGATTGTAACAGAGCAAAAATTTCGAGTGTCGGGTTCTAGATTTGGTTCCTAGGTGGCGCACTAGGTGTATTTAATAAATCTACATGTACGTCCCTGATGACAACCATTTTTATGTACTTTTGAAAGAGGTACATCACAAAAGATATTTTCACGCTACGCAAGTACTTTTTTTGGTGTTAGAATATTATATTGTAACAAATTAATTTTGTTTAAACAAATAAAAATTATTAACCGAATATGTAAGTGGACACCTTAATTAACATTTCAANTTCTGAAGGTAAGCAATACTGCCTTACAATAATAGATAGATTCACGAGATGGCCAGAAGTTATCCCTACTACGGATATGACTGCCGAGACCACCGCAAAAGCACTTATTCACGGTTGGATCTCTAGATTTGGCACTCCCGTTACTATAACTACCGATCAAGGCCGAAATTTTGAATCAACTCTTTTTCGAAATCTCACTAATATCTTAGGCAGTAACCACATCCATACTACTTCATATCACGCGCAAAGTAATGGAATGATAGAACGATTTCATAGACAACTCAAAAGTTCTATAATAGCACAGGAAAATAATAAATGGACCGAAATTTTACCAATTGTCTTATTAGGTATTCGCACAGCTTTAAAAGCGGATATTAATGCAACTTGTGCACAACTTGTTTATGGTACTTCCTTACGTCTACCTTCGGATCTTTTAAACTCAAATTCTTTATCTCCACCAGTAACAGAAAATTATGTCGCAAATTTAATGGCCGCAATGAGAAAATTAAGTGCAGTCAATGTTAATTACACAATTTTGCTTTTTTTTTTCATTTTTAGAGTTTAAGTACATATTATGCAAATGATTACTTCCAATTTTATTTTAAAAAATAAATTATAAATACAAGAAAATGATATGGTGTGTTTTGAAGTTTGAATAGAAATGGGTATCTAACAATTGAAATAAAATAAAATTCAGAAATGCTATTTTATTTTATTTTATTTAGCTTAAGCATTTAATTGTTCATTAAATGCGATTAATTACTTTAAAGTTTATATTAAAACGAAGTAAAGTAAACGACAATTATTTCGAATGTAACTATTTAAGGTTTCGTTGAAAATAGTCAAATCTAAATTAAATTTCAAGTTGGAAGTTCTACTAATTATAAGAAATACGCAATTGTACTAGTTAACTCAAAAGCTTTTTAAACAAGCCTCTCTTACGCAAAATAAAATGTTGATTCAATACACGCTTTGATCTTTTCAAATAAAATACATAAAACATACATTTAATAGGAATTTTTAATTCACTCAAAAAAGTAGGTTACTTCTTAATTTAAATCTATTTTCAATGAATAGTTTAATTTTAATGTTTTTTTGTCTAAAGGTGTCTGATGAAAAATGAAAAAGAAATCAACTAACCATTCTAATTGTTCAAAGGAATTCCAGTTTACGCCACATCATCTGGCTTTAATAAAAAATAAAAGTGACTGTTTGTGGTTTTCGTTTGCAAATAAGGAGACGAAAACAAAGAAATCTGTTAAGTAGCATAAAAAATTATTTAACTTACTCTATTGATTTGTTCAGATATTTGAAACTTTTAAAATTTAAGCTAAACTTAATAAAAGTTTGTCATTAAAAATATAACCGGGTTTTTTCATCTTCCATTTAATAGATCATGCATATTGTTTAGCTTAAGTAAACCACTAGTCGTGATTATTATT